GGATATAACAATTTCTGAAAATGAGGTTTTTGTGTGATGGTTTTCTTTTTTAGCTTTTTATTGTTGAATACTTCGGCCTTAATTTGGATTAATGTTGTCTTGTTTGCAATAAGTTTATGTTTGTTTTATATATTTTTCTCTATTGTTGTGAAAGCCAATTGCATCTATTTTTGCAAGAGCTAATTGCAGAAAATAGCAACATACAAAGTTACTTGTTCATATCACTATATGGTAATGTATTTTATATTTTACCATTTTTTTAAAAGTAAATATACTAATCTACTCCTAAATTATTCCACCTATGTCTACAACGGGACTTGAACTCTCGACCTCAAAGAGGAATGACAACACCGGATACCACTGGACTAGAATATGTATTTTCTACGAGTATCGAGGATGTGCAATTATAAAAACCCTATTCGATGTGCTTGGTCTTCAAGAAGATAAATCTGGAAGAAGAGAGATTTTTAGATGGTTTTCCGAATACTTTTCCAATGAAAAGATTACAATGCATAAGTATTACTCTTCCTAAGAAACTACAACTACTACTGAATTACAAGAAATTGAGAATATAGTTGAATATGTTAACTACCGCTACGTGCATGCATGATAACACTACTAGAAACTTGAGTTTCAACTACGGATTTAGAGAAGGATTTATTCTATAGCAAATTTTAGGCTTATAGCGAGAGAATTATGACAGATCTACAATGGTTTAAAAAATTATTTTATTTATTCAACATATAGCATATTAGAGAGGGTTTAACGAGGGATCAACTACGAATCTCGCAAGTATTTGTCGACACACATTTATTCCTCGACAATCGGTCGAAAACGAAGGCATTTGGCAAGGGTTCAACGAGGGATAAAAAACTTATCGACATTTTGCCATCTGGTTGTGTTTAGCGAGCGAGAGAACTCCGACAGAGAGTACACGCGTTACATTTTTTTTATTTTTTTTTATTTTTTTTTATCGATGATCTCTCATTGAAATTGGCGCAATCTAATGCCAGTTTCACGAAGTTTGTGTAAGTTTCCTTCCCTCCCAAATCTTCTTTATCACTCCAATTGAACACAGATGACTCTGTAGTTGCAACTTAACCTAATTTCACCCTCTCCGTTCAAACAGATGACGACCACACTCACCATTGCAGCTTCTGATTCCGACAACCTCCACATTTTTAAAATATAAGATTATTCTTCGTTAACTCCTGATTCAGGTAAATCTCTTGATTTTATTTGCTTTAGTCGTATATTAGGTTAGGATTGGTTCAGTTGCATAATATATTACGTTAGGGTTTAATTTTTCCATTTTTTCCTTTTCCAATCATCATCCTGTGAGAACAAGGACATGATGCGCAAGGACAATGTTTGAAAACTCAAACCTTGAGTTAATGCTTAAGATCAATGTCTGCTTGTAATTATATGTTCCAGTCAAGTCTGGTAATACCAGTCGAGACTTGAAGTGAGAATTCAACAAAGTACTTCATGTAATAAATGTAGAACTATGAGTAAAATCAAGGTAAAGACAATAAATGAACAAGTAGAATGTTTTGAAAGTGTTTGATATGAGAGAAAGGTGAAAGAGAGTTAATATGAGAATATGCTATCTTTGGAAGAACAATCCACACTATTCTTGTCATTAAATCACTCCTTAAATAGTCAAGGAGGAACATCATACAAACCGATTAACATACAAAGGACCGGATAATCACACTACTTCTGACATACTGATTATCCAAATAAACAAAAGAGACTTGGTCCTATGAAACGTTACATCAAACAAAAGACAAGAATAATTAATGCATAGACTGACACATGATCTCAGATCATTTCTTCATCTCGGAACATTTTCCACTCCGGACTCTACCTCCATCTCGTACCACAAAACATTTCAGACTCAAGACTGACTTCGAATCTTTAATAGTTAGAGATTCCTAGAGGTTCACTTTCAGGTTCCAACAATCTCCCCATAAGTGAACTTAGCAATCCAGTCATCTTAGTTCGATTCTTCCTTGATAAACACATACGCTCGGTATAACCAATCTCTGACTTCGATGTACCACTAAAGATGACTTATGAATTTGGCTTCACATGCTTTGGTGCTTCGGACTTTGATTCACGATTGATAAACTTCCGAGGGGATTTGGTGGTAACCAGATGCTTGTCAGGACTTGGAAGAAGTCCTTATTATTCGTCTTCTTTTGAAGATACACAAACCCTAACACTGGTTCATCAATTGGTCCCTCTGCTAATATCTCAGCTTCTGGCAGCTTGAAGTCAATATTGGCTAAGAGCTTCTCTGTTCCGAACAGGTGAACTAACTCAAAGTCGCATCTACAGAATTTCGTGACATAATCTTTAAGGAAGCTCAAGGCAGCATGGTAAGCTCTGATGGTGAGATCATCGTTTTGATGGCTTTGGAAGTGCGCAACAATTGTAAGGATGTCGTTGGGATTGACTGATGGGAAATCGGCGTCTGTAATAGTGAATTGAGTTGGTATGTTTCGGAAGATGTGGTATCGGTGCAACATACAGTTTAGATCAAACTTGGCTAAACCTTTCCTTCCACACCCAGAGATCTTGGTAATTCTCTTCCGAGACCATACTTCTTTTTGAGGAAGTGTGTTCTAGGAATAGAAGGTTTCCAGGCGTTCACGTTCAGTTCTGATGATCATTTGAGGATCATCTTCCGGGTGGAGAGGAGCAAACTAGGTGTAGAACTTGCAATATGGAGAGATGGGTAGATGAATTTGGTTCGAATCTTGATCTGGTAAGTCATAATACATAAATGGCACTATGTCCACGTCATGTATTATTCCTTCTTGAAAAAAAGGTGAAAGCCCTAGCATCAGACTAGGATTGTCTTTGAGGGCTTGGATTCTGATGCTTTCCTCGAGGGCTTGCTCTATTTCAGCCTGAGACCAACCAAAATTTTGTTTCGGAGGAGGTTCGGAGTGGTGGACTTCCACAATGCGCTTTTTGCCTTTGTCTTGGGGCTTCTTGAGTGTCGAGATGATGTGTTGCATGTTTTCATCAATAAAAAATTTTGGAGGAGAGGAAACCAGGGGCTCTTCCGGAATGTCATCAGGCTTCCGAAGAGGAGATCCTTCATCGATAGGAACTATCCTGGGCGAAGGAATCAGAGGCAACATTGATTTGGTGGCTCGGAAGGCGTCAACTGTCAGTTTGGTTTTAGCCTTAGCCACTTCTCGGCTTCCTTGAAGTACATCAGCCAGAGTTGATGGCTATGAGACTGCCAACCAGATCCGTTGCTCTTCCTCGGAAAACAATTTGGCTGGGAACTTCCTTGGAGCTGGAATCCCTATGATGGCATTGGTGATATGCTTATCTTCTTCATCCACATCATCATCATCATCATCATCATCATATCATCATCATTGGAGAACCTGTAAGAACTTGCAAAGAATCATCAGAGTCTTCATCTCAGAGTCTGAACTCCGAGACAGGTTTCCAGGGAATAGATTGGCTTCTCCTGCTAGGCCCTTCTCCCCCTCTTGCAGCGGATGACCCAACAACCAGTGCAAGCAATGTGGACTCTTGGAGTTCTGAAAATCGATCAATTACCTATTGAAAGCTTTTATTCATCTGCAGTGTTAAGGCATCATAGGCTTCAGCGGTGGGAGCCTGAGCCTTCAGGTGATCGAAGAGGGATGCAAGGATTGAGAGCATGTCATCAAATTTTGTCACAACTAGGAATTCTAGTGCTTTTGTAAACATTAACAATGATAACATTTGTGACTAAAACTTGAAAGTATGCATGAGGTTTATTCAATAACACCAAAGTTCCATCAATCACCCTATGCAAACACTTCAAATAGTCAACAAAAGATTGGAAACCCTAAAAATCCCGGTTTAAGTCCATTACGGACTAGGATTTCCTTATTGGGCCTAATGGACCAATAAGTTTCCAATTTGACTAGTTTGGGCTTAGAACCCTTAATTGGGCTCTAATTTAACCCACCTTCATGAGATTTGACATTTTGGGCCATATTGGGCCTAAAATGGAAATAAACTACTCCAATAAGCCTTATTGGGCCAAAACTAGCCTAATTAACCTTGTTGGGCCATAACTAATCTAATTAGCCCTAATGGGCCACAAACCTAATCTTTTATGCTAATTGGGCCGCGAACCACCCTAAGGGCCAATGGGCCGAAAACTTCTTTATGGACCTCATGATTTCAAGTAAGGATCAAGAATTGGGCCAAAATGAATCCTCTTCCCTTCTTAATGCAATCCTCGGCCCATTTAAAAAGAAAGAAAAGATTAGAAGAAGAATTAAGATAAAATGGATTAAGGAGGAAAATTGTGAGCATGCCACCTCCTTATTGCATGGTGGACATCCATGCAATGTCACCTCACTCTCTCTCCCCTCTTCTTCTTCTTCTACTCTCGGCCGAGAGCATCAACACACACACACACACACACACTTAATTCACTTCCAAATACTTCCAAATCCTCTCAAGAACACCTTCATTCTTCCATCAAAATTTCGAGATTTGCAAGCATTCCAATAAGGTTCTTCACTTATATCACAAATCCTTGGTAAGTTTTTACTTAGATCCATGGATTAACTTCTATATCTTATCAAAAATCTTCTCTTAATTCATTCAAATTCATGATCATGCTTCTTAGAACCCATCAAAGCCCAAAGATTTCTCAAAAAGCTTGCTAGGGCCGAAAATAACCTCAACCCCTTCCATTTCTTCTTCAAAACCGTGAGCAACAAATCAAGGTGAGTTCATACCCCCTTGTTTTTGGTTTTTACTTGTTTTGGGGGAGAATACAAGTACTATGTGTTGATCTATGTGTGTATGCTTGTTATATGTGATTTCTTTGGTTTATGTTGTGAAAATATGATATTATTTGCTAAATCTTGAAATCTATGGCTAAAGTGTGAAGAATACATAAACAATGTACATAATAAACAACTTGCTTCAAAGATCTAAGGGTCTTTAGGCTTAAGAAGTGAAAACAA